ATTCGTTTTCATCCAAATTTTCATTAAAAGCAGATGGTAATAAGGTTGGAATAAACTTGATTAAAATCGGCAATAGTAAACTTCCGCCCGGAAGTAAAAATATCGTTAACGACGGAATGGTTTTGCAAATATCCAAAAGTGTTTTTTTACTTTTTTCTTTTCTTTGGCGTCCAGATCCCTGGTAGTAGAATAAGCCAATAGAACCATTAATTCCTTGCTCTGAATAATTTCCTTAACCAGTCTGTTTTTGTTTCTTACAATCAGTTTTACAACGCTGTGGGTCATTTGATCGTAGAAATGCTTTACGGGATTAGAATAATTAAAATACGGAATTTTCTTTTTATGAGTTGTTATAAAATCATTGGTGGTATCGATGCTTTTGGTTACAAAATCATCAGAAACTCCCATCATTGAACCCAATGAGTATAAAAAGTACGCCTCTTCATTTTCTACAACACCATCGCTCCATAAAGCCATTCCGGCCATATCGATCAAATAGTAATGTTCCAGCGTATTGCTAAAATAATCAAGATGTAAGGTTTCAAGAGTATCTACGGTAACTTTTGAAAACTTCGAATATCGAATAGAAGCTTCAAAAAGTTTAATTAATAAATCGTCGTGTTGCGATTTTACGGTTTTGGTTTTTAAGGCCAGAGCCACAATCCCTAAAACAGTTTCTTCAATTCGTTTTAGATATTTGTCCGGAATCGATCCGTGCTCTAAATATTGTCTGAAAGCCAGAACATCAATAAACAAAAGCGCATTGGTTACTAAATGCGAAAAGTTTTTACTAATGATACTGTCATTCGTCTGAACGCGTTGATCTATTATGTTTTCTAGAGAAAGGGAAGGAGTATCTTTTGGAAGTAAAATTTTGAACAAATTAAATCCTTCAGGATTCATTTCGTTATAAAACTTTAAAACTTCGGTAATAAAATTATTAGGTTCAAAACTTCTTTTTTCTAAACAAAAAACGCCGTACAAAGTATTTAATAAAGCGACTTTAGAAATTTCTGTCTTAAACCAGCCTTTTATAGGAACCGGAATTCGGGAGTCAATAGTTATGATATGACCGTAAATAAAACCAGTTTCTCTGACTTTATAGTAAAACGAATCTGTAGTCTCAAAAGGAATAGCTTCTGAAAACTTTTGTTCACTAAAAAACTTGTCTATCCAACCTGGTGCTGATGGGTTAATCATTAACTTTAATTTATAGCTGCAAAGCTATATCTTTTTCTTGTGTTAGGATAAATTTTAAATGAAATAACCACTAGATTTTGTGAAAATGTAGTGGTTATTGTCTTTTTATTTGATGATTCCGGCACAAGCGACTCTTCCGCCTGCATTTCCTGTTGGCTGTGTTGTAAAATCATCAGTTCCCTGATGTACAATCAAACCTTTTCCAAGAATATCTTTGTTTGCGTCTCCACAACCAATACACCATTCGTCAGTGGTTAATGTTATAGTTCCGTTACCTTTTGCATCAGCAGTAAAGTTCCCGATATCTCCTTTGTGGTATTCTGCAACCCCCCATTTTCCGTGTTTTTTAAAAGTTGGATTCCAGTGTCCTCCGGCTGAACTTCCGTCGGCAGAACTACAATCTGCTTTTTCGTGAATGTGTATGGCGTGAACTCCCGGAGTTAAACCAGTCATTTTGGCAACAAAAGTTACTTTGCCATTTTTCTCTGTAAAAGTAGCAGTTCCTGCAACGGCACTACTGCTTTTTGGCTCTAAGGCAACAGTCAGGGTTTTGGCATCATTTGATTTTGTATTGGTCTTACAGCCAATGATTAAAGCTGTAATTATAGCGAAAGAAGTGATTATTTTTTTCATGCGAAAGGCTTTTAAATTAAAGATTAAGTAAATTTAACATAAAATTCCGACATTGATTGACGCTAATAGTTAAAAAAATCTAAAACTATTGCATGTAATTTAATGTTACTTTAAGTGAAGGACATCTTATTATTGCGTAATTTCGTATAACCCCGAATTTAAAATTTTAGAAAAATCAGTATTGTTATTTTTAATTTAATCTGTAAAATTATGATAAAGAATGTTTTGATTTTAGTTTTTTTAGGAGTGGTATTAATGTCATGTAATGCCTCTAAAGCAGAGAAAAGGGATTCGGTTGCTAAACTCGAAGGAACCTGGGAACTTAATTATATAACCGGACCAAGAATTGCTTTTGACGGGTTGTATTCAAATAAAAAACCGACAATACATTTCGACTTGAAAGAAAATCGTGTTTCAGGAAATAATAGCTGCAATTCATTTACGGGAAATCTTAGTGTAACGGGTAATAAAATCGATTTTACACAACCTATGGCGGTCACGAGAATGATGTGTCAGGACGGTCAGGGAGAGCAGGTTTTTATGAATACCTTGCAAAAGATAACATCATATGATCTTACGGATGATGGCAAAACTTTAAATTTTATTTCCGGTGACATTGCGATGATGCGATTTACCAAAAAATAAAAATTACCTTTTTTTAACGCAATAGAAATACTATTATGAAAACTAAATTGTCGATTTTATTAGTGTTATTGTGCTTTTTAAATTCTGCGGTTTTTGCACAGGAAAAGACTAAAAAAGAATTAAAAGCAGAGAAAGCGCAACAGAAACAAAAAGAAATTGAAGCTCTTATAGATTCTAAAAATTTTGTTTTTGAAGCTCAAAAAGTCAATCCGCAAGGGGGCAGAGTGATTATCTTGGATTATAATACTTACTTCTTAAAATTCAATACAGAAAAAACAACTTCTGACTTACCTTTTTTTGGACGCGCTTTTAATGTTGCCTACGGAGGAGATGGGGGAATAAAATTTGAAGGTGTTCCCGAAAATATTAAAATTGAAAAAAAGAAGAAAAGTTATATTTTAAAGGCCACTATAAAAGGCAAAGATGATGTGTATAATATTACCTTTTCTATCTTTTTAAATGGAGGTACTTCACTTTTTGTCAATAGTAATAATAAGGCGTCCATTTCGTATGATGGAGAAATTAAAGCTCCAAAAGCGAATGAAAGTGATAAAAAATAGTGTATTAACTTGTTAAAAATCAGTATATTTGGTAATGCATGAATTTTTTAAGAACCCATTAAAATTTAATACTATGAAAAAACTAAGTCTTATTCTTATTATGGCAATTGCCTGGTTTTCATCTTATGCTCAGTCTTCGTTTAAGGAAGATGTAGATGTACTGCAAAGTGTTTATGGCAAATCGAAAAGTAATCTTGTAAAACAATATATGAACTTATCTGATACACAATCAGTAGCTTTTACTAAAGTTTACGATAGTTATGAAACAGAACGTAAGGCGCTGGGGCAAACAAAATTTCAGTTAATCAACGATTATGCTGCTAATTATGCAACCCTGACAGACGCAAAAGCCGATGAGTTAGCAAAAGGTACTCTAAAAAATCATTTGGCTTATGAAAAACTATACTCTAAAACTTATAATCAGGCTAAAAAAGCTGTTGGAGCTATAAACGCTGCTAAATTTCTTCAGTTAGAAGTGTATTTGCAAACTATAATAAGAGCCGAGATTTTGGAATCAATTCCTTTTATTGGTGAATTAGACAAATCAAAATTATAATAATAGTACTCTTTATAAATAGAAAGAACGGCAGTTACCTCATATAACTGCCGTTTTTTTATTGTTCGAAATATATTATTTAGCTATTTTAACTTTATAAATAGCATCTACCATTCCGTCGCGAGGACTATCTAATGGAAGTTCCCAGAACATGATTCCGCCTAATTTTTTAGATTTTGCATATTCCGCTTTAGACTTTAATAGAAGTTAGGTTATCTCCGGTTGCAAATGTTTTTTCTTTCTCATTGTACCAGTATGCAGCTTTTGCTTTGTCATCCCAAAAATATTTCCAGCCATTTGCTTCTGTATAA